CAGTAGCATTCCAACTGTCTGGTAAAGATGATAAGAGAATTAAAGCTCGAACTTCATCATCAAATTCAATTTCCACTGAACTCAACTGGGTTGTGATTGTGTTGAGTTCATTTAGGTGTTGTGCCATCGATGCCCATTCCGTCATCCGCAAATTGAATAATCGCCTCATCAAATGAACTTTGTTTGAGGCCGATGGCTTCTCATACATATTGGAGAGAGCCGTCATAAGACCCGCCGTAGTCTTTTCCTTTGCTATATTGAAAGCAACATTGCGGGATAACGTTAGTCGGATAACTCCGAGGGCTTATCTGTCGAGAAGAGCCCAGTCTTCATTCTTCATGCCCTCTGGTTGTTTTCCTGAGAGGGGTTGATATAGATTTTTCTGGTATAGAAAATCTTCAATTTGCATCTTCCAAAATCCAAAGTCCGCACCATCGAACTTTTCAATTTTCACATTCCCTTCGTCTGCAGCCATCGCTCCCACTCGAATCTGGCTTCGTTTGGATCGTTTCTGACAATTTTTGTGAACCGCCGTGTATTAGAACACCTCCGTCGACAAACTCGTATCACCGACCGAATTTCACTATTCACGAAATTCACTATTCACGTGAATAGTAACCTGAATAGTAACCTCGCAAAAAATTGACAAAATTCACAACCCAAAAGCTCTGATACCAGTTGTTGGGAAATAAACCAAGTACAAGTAATTTCCCTATAACCAGATTAGTGAGAATGCAAAATAAAAGTGGAAAAATAATACCCAAAATTGATAACGGAGTTCAGCCAATTGTGCTTACGTCTCCGGACTGCTGCAAATCTTTTACTAAGAGAGAAAATTTACAGGTGTTTACAAAACACTCACTACTCACAAGAAAATTCTCTAGTATTGGGAGAAAGAAATGATTTTTGGGATGGTTTTGAAGCTAAATGAGCTAGGGTATTTATAGTTGAAACTTAAGGACTTAATCTTGTAAATACCCTAAAATCTAGGGATTAATTGTGATTATCCCATTATCATTTTTCAACAAACATCTACCAAACTTTGAAAAACTATTTTTTAAAGAAACATTTACCAAACTTTGAAAATCATTTTTTCAAAGTTGGTTACCAAACTTGAAAACCATTTTAATACTTTCAACATGGTGGTGGGAAGAACTTGGCTGCTTCGGAGAGGCAAAGAACTCAGGGCAGCATTTCTCTCATACGCTTACTTAAGAATAATCTCCATCTCTAATTTAACACCTTTTATTGTTTCACTTGAAGCTTGCTCTTTTTGTACAGATGGGGGCAATTTTTTTTTATTTTGTTTTGGGTGGGGGTTATAGCTAAAAATCTCTAAAGGCCTAGCATTGCTGTCCTTTATTTCACAAGAAACGAGTGCATGATTATGGATTCACTATTTATTATCTTAATTAAAGTTAGGGGGTGCCAGAAAAGGTTATCACAATAATTCGCCTGTGACAATAAGCATTTGGAACAGTATTAGCTTTTTATCCTTTCATAGATCGAAATCAACTATTTCTAATTAAATACTAATTTGTCAAGCTGTCACAATTCTAGTTTCCTTTTACAAGTTTTCATTACAACCGATGGAGAGTGAGATGCATGAAATAACAAATGTTATGACCGCACCCGATGTCTACGATGATTGCCCTGTCCCTTTTTCCCTCTCATAGCCACTCTCTCCGTTAACAAAGCTTTGTTGACTGTTGGCTCACCGCCGTGCCTTTGTTACTCTACCCCTCTTGCAGTATAACCAAACTTTATCTGGTATAATCAATGATGGATACTAGGGATGCCACGAGCTGCTCAAATCCGACTCGATCAAAGTTTGATTTGGGTTGATTCGACTTGAATTCGAGTTCGACTCGAGACCTTAATGAGTTGAGTCGATTAAATTTAAATTCTATTCGATAAGTTCACGAGCAACTTGTTATTTTTTTAAATAATTTTATAGTAATTTAGTGATTGTAAGTAACAATGAATGAGGTGAAGAGACGTTGGTTTCCTTTTTTTTTTATAATTTGTCGTATCATTGAACTTTTTTTTTCAAAAATATTTTTTAATATGTTTGTTTAATGCATTTGTAGATTGTTACCTTAGTTTTAAGATGTTAGTTTGGTGTATAGGTAGATTGTTACTTTGGAGTTTAAACTTTAAAATTCTTTTATACACTCTTTTGATAATTTTTTTCGTTAATCTTGCTAATTTATGTTTATATTGAGCTCTATATAATACTAATAGATTTAACCTAGAGCTAAAAAATAAGGTAAAATTTATAGTAAATTTAACGAGCAACGAGCTTAACAAGCAATGATTCATGTTGAGCAACAAGTCGAGTTGAGCAACAAGTCGAGTTAAGCAACAAGGCTTTTAATGAGCACAAGTTGAACAAAATTTTAACTACCTTAACGAACGAGTCTAGTCGAATAACAAATTTTTTTAACAAACACGAGTCGACTACTATCCAACTCGTGATCGATTCGTTCGATAATAACTTCTAATGGATACACATACAATCCAATTTTAATAAGGGTATCAGGTGTTTAGCTTATCAATCATTTCACATAGGGAAAAAACAATAATATTAACTAAATAAACCGGATTCGAAGTTGGAGAATATATTTTAAAATAAAAATCAATCGTGTTTTAACCGACTTTTAAAAATATTACAAAATTAAAGTTTAAAATTGTATTAAAATTTAATTGAATTTTGTTAACAATCTATGTATGGAAATCCCTCTCATTTTCAAGGGGTTAGACCATGTCAAGTCTACCCTCCTCTACTTATAAACCCAATTGAAATTCATCATAAACTAAATATAAAGGCTTAATATCAAAATAAGTATTCAAATTATACCCATTTTCTCAAATAGGTGCCTAAACTAATTTTCGTCTCATCCAGGTGCCTAACGTTACAAACGTTACCCATTTACGTGTCTGGGCCGGTAACAGTGTTAATTTTCTCGTTAAATGATATGTTTCACAATCTGGTAATGTTAAAATTTTTATTTAAAATTTAAAAATATTAAAAAAACAGAAAATACAAATTTTAAAATAAACCCAAAACTTTAAAAATCTTCATTTCAACCCTAAACCCATGTTGGCCGCCTCCTTTTACTGTCGACGAAGCTCCATTCGACCTCCCCTCCCCTGACGATCAAAACCCCAATGAAATCGTGATCGATCGACGGATGATCGACTATGAATCAATGTTTTAAACAGTCCGAACCCTAGGATTAAAATCACGATTTCGATGGCCAATCAGCGGAAAATACGATAGTGTATGAGTAGGAGGATGATATGGACTACGTTGATGGCGGTGGTCGTGGTCGGAAAGGGTGACGACTGTGGATTAAAGTTAGAATTTGAGATTTTGGGGTTGCTTTATAATATAAGAAAAGTTGTTTTTTTTATAAATATCATACTATTTTTAATATTTTATTTTAAAAAATAAATTTCAAAATCACCAGATTGTGTCACGTGTCACTTAACGGGAGAAATTAATGTCGTTGACGGCCCAGACACCTAAACTGGTAACAGTTGTAATGTTAGGCACATGGATGAGACGAAAATTAGTTTATGTACCTATTTAAAAAAATGTGTATAGTTTGGATACTTAATTTTGGTATTAAGCCAAATATAAAATAGAAATCCCCACCAACAAAAATAATCGGATTGACTGTTTCTCGGGTCGGGTGCAAATCTTCGGCCGATTCACTCGGGTTTTGTTTTCTTCACGAATCGAGCCGACCGGGACATCATTTCGCACACACTGCACGTGCCATTTCTCTTAACTGCGAAACTAAAACCGAAACCCACCACAAGAATTGACAGTGTAAAAATCAAAATTAGCCTAAACCAAAAATTAAAAAAGAAAATTATTATTTCGAGGAATAAACGTCTCTCTCTCTCTCTCTCTCTCTCTCTCTCTCTCTCTCTCTCTGGTTGGGGAAAGCTCAAAACCAAAGGGTCGAAAAAAACTTGAGAGCGATTTCGTGTTTTTTTTTCATTATCAGGGACAAAAAAGGTGCGGTGTCGTCTCTCTATTGGATCTCAGCTTCAGAGCTAGGGTTTTCATTTTTCTTTGCTTTTTTTTTTGAAGGTTTTCTATGAAGGTAACTACGCATAACGCTTGTAATTATGTCGATATATTGTTTCTTTTTTAAAAAAAAAAGGAAACGTGTTTTTATCAATTTTGTTTGCACATTGGGGATTGGCGTTATTAGAGTCTGCTGTATCTCGGCATTAAGTAAGATAATCTTAATTAAATTCACATCACTCTTCAAGGTGTATAGCTGTGAAGCTAGGGTTTTGTAACGATGTTCCTTCTGAGCTTTGATTTCTAGGTTTAGATCTTCACTGTACACTTTGGTAATTGATATTCCGTTGCCCCGTTTACCGTTTTAGAGGAAACTGGAAGGGCCTATTTAATTGTTTCTTAGGGGTTTCAGTTGGTTTAACTTTTAAGGGTAGTTTTTTGTCTGTTATTTTGTTTTGGGGTTAATTCTATTTTAGAACTGAAATTCAATTTATCTCAAAATCAAACAAGTTTCTGTTAGTTCTGATAATTTTAAAAGCTTGAGCTTTTAGTTAATTCTTTTATGTCAGGTTTTGAGGAGTGTCAACATTTATGTTTGTCTAATCTTTTGCTGACAATTAATATGATTTTACATGATCAGATTGCTTGGAAGGTATAATACGGCTGTTTTAGCTCATTTTGTCATTTTTTATTTTGATGATATATTGATAATTGTCAATGTTTCTTTTCCTTTTAATTCGATACCAATGAATTAATTGATTGGCAATTTATGTCATGCAATTTTACAGAGAACTTTATTAGGGATGAGGATCTACGTGATTAACCATTGTGTCATGCCATTTTACAGGCTTCTTTTTAGATATCTCACCTTGAAGCTTCACCTCCCGATCTAGATGGAACAAAAATTTTCGGTATATTACAAAGTTCTCTTTGTTTAGTGGTTTGCATCTAAAGCACCATGACGCTGGAGGATTTTTTTACACTGACTGAGATGAAAGATGGGCTTACAGTCCCTTCACGAGTTGAGGAGCTAGTAACTGTAATGAAGGAGGAGAAAGAATGTGTTGTTAAAAATGTCAGCGATGTGACCAGGCAGTGGACTTCTGTTGCAAGCACAATTGCGGCCACCGAGAATAAAGATTGTCTTGATCTTTTTATTCAACTAGACGGACTCTTGTTTCTTGACAGATGGCTGAAGGATGCTCAGGAATTTGGTAATGACTCGAGTGATAGTTTTGTGGAAGAATCAATTAATGCACTCTTACGAGCTCTTGAAAAGTTGCATAGAAATAGGGAGATGTCTGTTTCTTCAGAGATCTGGACTCTGGTCAAGAATCTTCTTGGCCACAATAGCTCACGAGTTCAGGAAAGTGCTAGGTTGCTCTTTGAAAGCTGGAAACAAGGTAGAGTTACTGATCACGTTGACTGTAGTGGACGTGAGTATGAGATTTTGGGTACTGCTACTGTTACTGGAGAAAATAATGGGCGACAATGTTCTGCCAAAGATGGTTCTGTTTCAAGAGGAAGCTCCCATGAGGAAAATGATGGAGCAGATGCAGCAAAAAGTGAAAACCTTCCTTCAAGCCAAGATTGTGTTCAACCAGAAAGCACCAAAGATTTACCCACTGAAACTACTAATGATGAGCTCCAGCCCCACATAAATTCAGACCATTCGGACATGGAAACAGATCTCCGTCTCATATGGTCTCCTCTGTTGTGTCAATACAGTTCAAGAGAATTCGCCCAAAAAGGAAGAGCTTCCTGCAAAACCTGTGGAAGAGACTGCATCCCATGAGGCCTGCAGTTTACCAGATTCAAAGCAAGAAGATATTGAAGTTTTGGATGCTCAGAAGTTGAATGGATTATCAAATGATGAAAAATTGTTTGATGTGACAGCTTCAAACTCTAGTACTGTGGAGCATGCTGGCGTTGGAAGTGCTCTGGAGATTACAACAGAACCCAATTCCCAAAATGATTCTGAGGCCAATAGGATTTATGTCCTAAAATCTGTCAATCTTGCTGATGAGAAGACACATGGATCTGAGCCAAAGAAAGCAGTGGGTGATCTGGAAGTAATGAATCATTCCGAAAATAGTTCACAGCTATTCAAGATTGCAGGCAAAGACATTGAGTCTCATTTGAGCATGTTGCGGAGCTCCTCCGAGTATCAGCTCATGTATAAGAAGCCTGGGAATCTGGAGAGTAGGTTTTCCAGGAAGTCGGATATTGGAATAGCAAATGAAGATAAGGAGAATATTGGATTTGAGAATTTGAGGGGTGGTTCTAGGTTTACCGGTACTCCAGTTGTGATCAATTCAACATCTGACATTGAGCTCGAGTATGGTATAGTTGATGCTCTAGAAGTTGCCCGTATAGTTGCTCAAGAAGTGGAACGAGAAGTCGTAGATGACAGAGAGCTTTCCAGCAGCTCTTCAGAGAAGATTTCGGAAGGTGGTATTAGGGAACCTAATGCCCTAGGATCCATAAATGGAAAGCAAGATCTACCCAGCAAGGCCTTGCCAAAGGAGGTGTCGACTGGACCCACTCAGTCTGCTGGAGTGCAAACTGAGGGGGGTGAGCTTATTAATTCAGATGATGCAGACAATGAACCAAAAAATAAGTTGCATGACATGGAGTCATCTCAGGTGACTGTAGCTCAAGATCCTGAGCCTAACACAGAGAAAGGTCTTTATGATTTTGATCTGAACCAAGAAGTATGTTCTGATGATATGGAACGTGCTGCGACTTCCATCTCCACCCCCGTTTCGGTGGTTTCTGCTTCAAGGGCGGCTGCAGTGCGTTGCTTACCCGCGGCTCCTCTACAATTTGAGGGGGCTCTTAGATGGAAAGGATCTGCTGCTACAAGTGCTTTTCGCCCAGCATCACCTCGCCGAAACTGTGATGGTGATAAGACTCTATCCCTTGGTGGAACAAGCAATAGCGCAAAACAGAGACTGGATTGCCTTGATTTTGATCTTAATGTTGCTGGAGCCCTTAATGAACAAGGTGCTGAACTAATGTCCGGAAAACAGGTTGCAGTCTCACCAGGCCTCCATTCTGCTGAACCTTCAGAAGAAAACCATAGAAAATCCGAGCGATTTGAGCTGGATTTAAATTGTATCAGCGATGATGGTGATGCTCCAGCATTAGATTCAAGAGTGGAGCAACAACTTTTTTATGACAGGAATGGCCATTGTAGCCAATCACCTGTTTCTTCATCATCACCAATGCAGTCTTCTCTGAGGAATTTCGATTTGAATGACAGACCATATAGTCAAAATAATGCTTTAGAACTAGGGCCATATCCTGGTAGATCTTCTCGAAATGCTCTTGCCCATGGAGGGCCTAAACCAAATGATCCTGTCATTTCTATAATGGGTGCTAGAGTGGAAGTCAATAGGAATGACTTTCTTTCTCAGATCGTATCCTTTCCAAATGGCAAGGCTCTTGAGCCTGCAACTGATGGAAGTATCTCAAGGACTGCAGGGTTTATGGGGTTGGTTCCCACTGCGTCATATACACACTCGCCTGCTTTTAGTGCTAATGGACTGCCTTTGGCGCCAAAGATGCCCTTCTCTTCTGCCATTTATGGGGCTAGTGGTTCAATACCTTATATCGTTGATTCAGGTGCACCTGTTGTGCCTCAACTTATGGGCTCTGCACCAGCTGTTCCAATAGCTTACTCTCAAGCACAGTTCATAATGGGCATGAGCAATGCGAGTGCTGGTTTAAATGGTTCAGGCCCCTCACGGCCTAATTTCGATCTGAATTTTGGATTAGCAATTGAGGGAGGAAATACAGAGTCCATGGGCTTAAGGCACCCTTTCATGCCTGCTCAAGGTAGGTCAATAGAAGAACATTTTAGGGCAAACACACAAGCCTCCTCTAGTTCTGGGGTTGCCATGAAAAGGAAGGAACCTGAGGGTGGATGGGATCCATACACATTTAACTACAGACAGCAGCAATTCCCATGGAAACAGTAAGTTCATATTACGTTGCTCCTTCCTCCCTCTGGATCATCTCATAAGTCCAAGTTAATTGATGCTTGCACTGCCAAAGATGCCTGGAAAATCAAAGAGCCCATCGAGGGAGGAGAGTTGAGCTGAATAAAACAGGGAAATGACGAATGTAATATGATTCATGAGGTTGACTGCCAAAGTTGGGGGAATTAGATTTTAATTGTTTTAGTTTTGCCTTATTTTCATGTTTTCATTTTCTGCGTTCCATAGAAGGCCATTGCAACCGAAGGCTTGGTACATGTAGGTGCAACTTATTTCCTTTTATGTCAGAGAAAGATAAGGAAACTGTGCTTTTCTTATCTTTTCTTTTCTTTTTAGAGAGAACAATTTTGGTTATTCATCATTACTGATTTCAGTTATTGACAGGTAGAAATTAATATATTATTTTTCATCTTTTGCCTGTTTGCGTAGCCTACGAAAAACACCATTTATATAAATCCCGATTCAGTGAAGACTCCTAGAACAATGTATTAAGCGGCCCGGGATCATTACCAACATCATCAGGTGGAGGGCGACAGCACGAATTAAAAAAAAATAACAATTTCAACAAAATTGACTTGATTGGATATATAGTCGGTAATTTAGTCAACAGTAAACATCAGCAGAAGCTAGCAATACTTGAATACTAATACTAAAGTTACAGTTGCTGTAGAAACTACAGGCATGTATTGTCCCTTCCGACTGGCAGATCCTGACCATTGTTGTACGTAATCCCATCTTGTTACAGCTAGCTCTCCCTCTCAATGAAAAAGTGTCTAATAAAAAGTATTATGTTGACCCACGGGGCTTACTCCCCCATCAATATCACCCAAGAGCAAATGGAGCATACTAACGCTACCGGCTACCTACGCTTGTAACTGGAAAACAAAAAGGAAACTTTGGTAAAAGGGAAAAAAGTATTCTACCGTGCAGAGAACAATAAAATCAAGACATTCTTGAGAATAGGAAAATGATTGTACTAAGCAAAACATCTCCCTTAAAGTTATTCAGAAATAGCAGGTGTAGAATCTACTTGGAGAACTTGCTAGCATAACGACGGAAAGAACTAAGATGCTAATGCGATCTGTAAAATCAAAGTTCATCATAAGGCGGAGTCTAAAAAATTGTGCTGAAGCATGTGTGCTAATTTTTTTAAAATACATTTGTGCAAACATTGCCAAAGACAAATTTGAAAACGAAAGAATTAATGGTTTAATACGCAACCAAGTTCTCCCGCTTAATTTTGAACCAAGAAACAGTTAATATAGATCTATAAAGAAACAAGGCAGGAAATTATAGCAATATATCATGCTTCATACCGTGATTTGCTCTTGAATGAACTCTTGGACTTTTTCCTTCCAGCATTACTTGAGTTTTTCTGCCTCCTCTCACTCATGTCATTTTGAAATAATTCCCGCATCTCTTCTGTCCTCGATTGAGTTCTTTGTTTAGGTTGCTTTGACATTTTGTCGGATTTCTTAACAATTTTGCCAGAATCTACTGCCTTCTTCACTGCTTTTGCTGCTTTTGCTCGCCGGTAAGCCAAGTCAACCAAAGATATACCTTCCTTCTCTTTCTTATTTTTCCCACTACCCTGCGATTCCCATATATTAGCATTTCGTAGAAATAAAGAACTTCCTAGCCCATGACATTGACTGATTTTGACAGTTAAGAAGGGAAAGAGTCTAAAATGGTTTGCCAACAACAAAGTTGGATAAGAATTCCAAAAAGAAAGAGATACTTACATGTGATTCATTAATTTCACTTTGATCCTCCAACATTTCTCTGGCAGCTTCCAGTTTTCGACGTTTCTTTCGAGGTAAATTTTTCTGTTCAGTAGATCTTAGCATTTAGCAACGTGCACAATGCAAAAGTTCTAAAAGCAAGTTTTGAAATGAACAATATTTACAACCTCACGCTCCCGTTTCCTCCTTTCCTTCATCTTAAGGTCCTCAGCTTGTTGTGCACTGATGATTGCATTGGCGTAATCTTTTTCCTTCTCCACAGATGCCTATTCAAATAGATAATTTTACATCACGGTAGCTAAACACAAAAGTGGGGTTTAATAAAAATTCCAGTAGCTTATAGAATAGTTACAGCAATACATGAAAATCAAAATTTCACCTTTGCTTCCTTTGCTACAAGCTTTTTCTCCTTTTCAGTCATAAACCAGGTTCTTTTAGGCCGTGCATAAATTTCATCCTTATGTGCAATCATATTTTCAGCCTTGCAACACAAGCACATAAGGTTAAACATACTAAAGCATGAATCCTCAAAATAAATAAAAAGTTCACCAGGATCTGAAAATGGTACTGCAGAAAGCCATTGAACAATTAAATAAAGACAAGTGATAACATAGAGCAGAATCAGTACTTCAGAACTATACAGTTTGGACACCTAGGTACAAATAGCATGAAAATGTGAAGAACACACCTTTGTAGCTTCCATTTCCGCCTTTCTTATCGCTCGCTCAGCCCTGACAAAATCCAAAATCAGAAGCTATAATAGTTGTATAAAGAGAAAGAAATAACCTTGAAAATGAAACAAACCAAACCTCTCCTCTTCAATAACTTCAGTGACTTTCTCTTCCATCACCTCTAGTTTCTGAGACCACTTAGCGATAGACTGCTCCGCAACAATCCGGCTCTTCAACTTAGAACCTACCCTCTTTGCCTATCGGTATAAACCACCATATAGAGTTAAAAGAAAGAATTTTCAAATTTCTGACAGGAAACGTCCAGATACTCCAATTGGGCAAACTGTTTCAGATTTTTTATGAAATTGAAGTTTAAGAAGGTATTGGAGCAATAACGACTTATTTGGAAATAAAGCACCTTTGCAATTCAAAGTTTCATGATTAATCTTACCTCTTATTAAGCCCAGCATGATTCTTTACCACGATCAGAACCAGTATTAACATGCATAATCACTTTCACAAAAATTTCAATCCTGAATGTCTATTCTAGGCTGGGAAAATTAGGCAGACTAGAATACCATCACTTACAATAGCTTTTAATAGAGATCGGTCATTGTCAGTAAGAAATGTAACAGCATATCCTTCTCTACCAGCTCTAGCAGTACGACCCATCGGTGAACATAACTGCATAAAGAAGAAACAATAGAGCCAAACCATTGCAATAAAGCACAGTGCACATAAAATATATATGTACCACAAATTATTAATGATAACAGAATAATGATGCATGCCGGTCAAAACATAATTCGAAGAATGTGGATCTACCTTGTAATATCTCGAGGACAAGCATAATTAATGACGGTCTCAACACCAATTATATCAAGTCCCTACACATTGCAACCATTCAGAAGCATGTGTTAGAAAACAAAATTGCTGCTGCTTAGATGTATGCATGTACATGTGGAGAGTAGATGTATGCATGTACATGTGGAGAGTAGATGCATTGATCATCTAACATATATCATGTAAAGCTGACTCCTTTCAATGACCTAATCTATCAAACTAAAGCACGTGGAAATTTACAAACTTCTGAGGCATAAGGGCAAGGGATGAGTTCAGTGCAGCTACTTACACGAGCTGCCACATCAGTGGCAATTAAAAAATCAACTTCCTGCTTCCTAAAACGTTCCAAAGCCTAAACAAACAATAATTGGTTAGAATGGTTAAAAGAACAATATAACGTACTCATATCAAGGTGCTGAACTTGTGTCTAATATTAATAATAATGATTAAAAGAAAGAGCAGGAATTAAAGAACAACAATTGCATTTACTTACATCCAGGCGCTGAACTTGAGTAAGATCTCCATGAAGCTCAGCTGCTTGAAGAGCAGCCAACTGAAATAAAATCTTCAATCTATGCGCAGCTTGCTTGGTTCCACTGCCAAATGAGATGGAATGTCATTTCTAAAGTCCTAAGCGTTTGCCCACTAATATGGGAGTGACATAAAACTGGTTAGTAAAAAAACCTGGTATAAATTAAACTGAAACAGCAGAGAAACATATCATATTTTCTCTATGGATCTTTTTTTCCCTCGGAACAAGTGTACTGATTTGAGAAATATGATACTATCCAAACATCTGCGTATACTATCGATATATTAAATCAGTACAGCCATCTACATGTGTAACAATAACCTGAAGATAATCACTTTGGACGTGAAAGTCCTTGAACACAAAGACAGAAGGACTGCTTCTTGATTTACTTCACGCATTCGGCGTATTCTTACAACCCTAACAAGAAATAACAAAGATAACATAGTCAAAACACACAAAATGGGAAATAAGCAAGCAAAATAGACAATGAAATTATAAGAAATTACTCCTCAGTCAATGTTGATGGCCGTTTAGCTGAAGGGTCAGCTGAAAGACGTAAGGGTCTGGTCAAAGAAAGCTTGACAAGCTCATCAACTTCTTCAGTCATTGTAGCTGAAAACAGCATAGTCTGTCTCCTTTTAGGACAAAGACGAACCTATATATAAGTTGCATTAGATAACATAAAAATCCACAGAAACAGATAACAATTCAATGCAGAAAATATAACTTGGTACGTTAGGAAGTGAAACTATTACTATAAAAGGGAACTCAATTATGTGTATCTACTAGTTAAAATTCATCTTTGATCCAACTTTGGTAAACATTTCACCTATTGATAAAGATATAAATTCATTATAAATTACAACTGTTTCCAATATGGAAAACAGTTATGTTTTACCTCCGCATCCTACTACCTCATAAGAATTAGACAAAATCCATCAAGTCAGAAGTCGTGAACAAACTACCCTTCCCCGTCATCTAAGAAATTCAGAGAATCACTTACAAAAACAACTCATATAAAAAGAGACTTGATTGGGGGAAGTTACCAACTCATGAATTTCAGCGCTGAATCCGAGCTCCAGAAGACGATCTGCCTCATCAAGGATCAAAACTGCAAGATCATCCAAATCCACAGACATTGTATTCCGTAAATGATCTATCATGCGTCCAGGAGTAGCCACAACAATGTCAGGCATTAATCTCAAAGCTGTCTCTTGTGCCTATAAAGACGACATGAGATAAAAGAAGACAATGTAAGCATAGGAATTCAAATAATTCGACAAACTGTTAACATCAACTTCCGAATAAACAGGCTCTCAAAGAAGCATAGTGGATTTTTTTTTGATAAGAAGCATAGTGGATTCATCTGAAAAAAAGAGTGATTTTATTAGTAATCCTGAGAGGATCAATGATAAAAGTTCCATAAACCAGTCAAACGTTTAAGAAAATGGAAAAGGGTGATCATAGCTTTTTTATAACAGTGGAGGAAGTTTCAAGTGAGTTAAAGAAACATTTAAAAAGAGTGCTGAAAGGATCAGACATAATTTTTGCCTGTATTAACCCAGCTAAGTATGGAATTCAATAGGTCAAACCTTTATTGAAAGCCCGCCAACAATCAGACAACATCGAATATCAGTATACTGAGCAAGTTTCTCAATCATACTGTGAACCCTGCAACAAATGAATGTATAATAAGGTTTAAACCTAAACGAATCTCCAAAAATACACATGAAAGATAATTATAGTCTTCAACAAACTATCGAACAGACTGCCTTATAAATATTTCCAACAAACTATCAAAGTAGTAAAATGCAAAAACCAGTTAAGTAGTTTATGATAACATAATTCCATTATAAAAAATCATTTGTTCTCTTACACTAAACCAGAGCAAAGAAAGCAAAATCCTGAATAAATCTGTGATAGAAAGCGGAAAATGTTTAAAACACTTTTTAGCACTTACTGAACGGCCAACTCTCTAGCAGGTGTAAGGATTAGCACTCGTATAGCTGAAACCCTTTTGGGACGGTATAACAGCCTTTCCAGTGTAGGTAAGGCATACGCAGCAGTCTGAATCATGGGAAAATTTAAAGCAATTCTATAAAAATCAAATATTCAATAGCAAATTAAAGGCACAGAAAGAGATGAAGAACAAAAGAAATATACCTTCCCAGAACCAGTAACTGCACTCCCACATATATCGCGTCCAGTCAAGGCTAAGGGTATACATGCAGCCTATAAAACAAATTACCCAAAAGCTCAATGATGAAAACTCGATTAATGAAGCAAAAATTATGAAACCAAGTAAAATAAAGACCTGAATAGGAGTAGGCTTGTTGTAACCCAGTGTTTCACAAGCTCGAAGCAAAGGACGCGAGAGATTGAGCTCCATGAAAGAGTTCGCATGAAATGAAGTTCCTTCAGATGGCGCAAAGAACGATTTACTGTCTGCTGCATTATTTGTTTCCTCATCTTCATCTTCTGATCTATAATCAACCTGATATATTGAAAACAAAAAGGATTACTAATTAAAAAACGTTATTTAGAATAAAAAAAACAGAGCAATAAGAAATAATTACTTGTTTATCGGATTCGGAATCGGAGGTCTCGTCTTGCTGAGCTGTAGCAGAGCTTTGTTGGAGGATTTTAGTGATTTTGAAATCAACGGAGGTGGTGCCACGGCGAGCGTGTTCCTCTGCCACGGATTCAGAGTAAGAAGCAAAGTCCCAAGCAGACTGAGATTTGCGTTTCGGTTTAGAAGATTTGTCTCCTGCTTCATCTCCTTCTTCTGCTTCTTCATTTTCTTCCTCGTTGGATTCTGAAAGTTCCGGTTCTTCGTCACTGGGGGCTTCGAAGATGAAAGGAGCCATGGAGTTCGGAACCAAGAGAGTTTGTGTATGTATAACGTTTAACAATAAAACCCAATACCATAAGAGGCGCAAAAGTGTGCTCAAAGGTTAATGCTTAAAACCCATAAACCCTAGTTGATGTCGAAGGCAATTGTAGAAGAGGGAAGGAAGGGAAGAGGAAAAAAGGGGGGATTACGCAGAAAAAAACGTACTTTATTTTAGGGTGAATTACACTTTTGATCACCATACAATTATATTTATTCTATTTTAATCATTATACTATTTTTATATAAATAATTAATAATAATATTTTTTTCTAATTTAATATAATACTTGTAATTTTTAAAACTTATATATTTTATAAACTTTAATTTTAATATTTTAAAATTTTACCAACTTAACTCTTAAACGAATATCACTGTCATCAAGAATAAATCTACCGAACTCTCTTTGTTTGCTGCAAAATTAATTTCATAAATAGAATGAGGTCATAACCAAAAAGGGGCAGGGTATATAAAAAAATTAGTTGATCATTATTCCATATGTAATGGGATAAGGGATAAGGGGAAGTAAGATAGTAGAATGTTCCCAACATCAGGTTAAGAACAGCTTCCGTAGGAGACCTCCAAAATATGAAATGTCCTCCGTGGCTGACCCTTATAAATGTTTTTAAATAAATAAATAAAAATAGTTAATATTTTATACACTATTTTAAAAATATATTTATTATTTAAAAATATAAAGATATTTGTTAAATTACAAAAATATGAATTAAAATTAATAAATTACAAATTATTTATGTCAACTCCGATTTATGATTTTTTAATTTATTTTTATTTCTTGGCTCAATCTTACACATATTTGTTAGTCTTACATGTCTAAACTTATTCATTGATCTCGTGACTTTGGTCCGGCTTAAGATTATGATTGTATAAGTTGGATTTTCTTAATTAGGGGTGAGCCTTCTATTTAAATCGAGTTAAAAGAATTTTAGTTATTCGAGTTGATAAATTTTATTTTACAATTTAAAGTTGACTTGAAATTTTTTCGAGTCGAATTTTCGAGTTTCTATTTGAATTTAATTATAAATATTTATGATATTATTTGATTATAATTTAAATATTTTTATATAACCATATACAATTCACGTATATTATTTCATATTATTTCATATGTGATATACATGTATTATACAAATTCGGGGACTCGACTCAAACTTAAAAATTAAATCACTAAATTACTAAAAAATTTGAGTTATTCGAGTTGAGTTATCTCGAGTCGAGTCATTTTTTCAAGTCGAGTCGAGCTTTGCTCACCCCTATCCTTAGTGACAATGACAGATACAAAATTATTTTTCATGATGGAAACACTTATATATTAACCGCATAAAATTTTTATATATAGTAGTCACAATTAAAACTTCAAGATAGATACAATTATTAAAATATATAATTATCGAATAAATTTTAAATTTCGAGATAAACATGTATCTACCTGATAAATAGCATTTGTCATAATAAATTTATAAAATGACATTCATTATTATAAACTAATATTAGATTATTTTTTCTATTAGTTGTTGCACTACCATAAATTTAAATTTTATATTTTAAATCTTTATATTTTTAATTTAAAATTTTGATTTAAATATAAATGATTGTTATTATTGTTATGTAGAATTTTATTATTAATTTTCATTTTACACTTATTTTATAAATTTAATCTATATTTCTCTTTTGGTCACTTTTATTGCTTATAATTTAATAATATTGAATTACAATTGAAATTTTAAAATATAAAAAAATACATTTTTATCAAATTAAAATATATAAATTAATTTAATAATTTACCCATAATATAAAGTACTCGTAACAAATCTAACATTACTTAAACTACCTAGAGACTTGCACTAACAATGGATGATATTTAATGTGTTAAGAAATTTATCATTTTGTGCAAAAATCTAAAAAGTCAGTAATATAAAATTAAAAATAACAAAAATTGAATACGATTGAAAATATTATAAAAAAGTTATAACATTTTAAGTTGGATGTAATTGAAAATTTTATATTATTCTTAACATTTTAGGTCATACATTTTCGATTGTTAATCGAAAATATTATAAAAATCGTAATATTTTAAGTTGGACAAAATATAAAATTTTATAAATAAGCTAATATTTTAGATTGTTTCACCTTAAAATATTATGTTTCTTTATAATATTTTGGATCATGCCTTATTTATATCATTTTTAAGGGTAAACTAAAGGAATAGTCATTAAAGTATGAGTAAGTGTCTGTTTTTTCCTACTAAACTTTCAAAAGTTACAAATCTGTCACTAACGTTAACGATTTGTAACAAAATAATAAACCGATGTTAACAGCCGTTAACTTGATGACGGAAAACTGAATTGGATCGCTAAACGCTTACTTACTTGGCCGTTGACCGGTCCTTAATAGTTACGTTGGGTATCTTCTTCATAGCTCACTCTTCACTCTCTTTCTTATTCTTTTTCAACGCTTTCAGCTTTCATCATAGTTTTAGATCCAAAATCATATCCTCATTTTTATCATGTTTATCCATAAATTAAAGAGGAAAGCAAGCTTGGGTTCGACGAAAAATTAGTAAATTAATTAGCCCTTTCTCTTATAAACACAGTCTGCAAATTGGTCAGTGAAGAACTCTCCAACACATGTTCTTCTATAGTTATTACACTTGGGTGAAGCTTTTGGCTTCCTCGGAGCAGGCGATGTAAACGTGAATAGAGTTCGAATCCTGGCTTCTTTTCCAGTGGGAGTCTTCGAACACGATGATTCTTCATCGTCATCGTTTTCTATTCTTTCTTTATCTTTCTTCAACGGAGAGACTTGATTTTGTGTATATAGGCATCAATGAAGCTCGTATGGGAATCATGGCTAAGACCTACTTTTGGCCTTTGTTTTTAAGCCGTCGTTTACCTTTGGCTTCCTTGAAAACCCCATTTTCTTGAATCAAAGATCAAAATTTTCAACTACAATTATAGATATCCAGGAAGGCATAATGGAATAAAGGAGGAAAAAAAGAATGAGTTTTTTCCCCTTACCTTTCTTTTTCTTTTTCCTTTTGTGGAGAGAATCAAGAGGCAGGAGGAAAGTGGCGGAATTAAAAAAGAATAGAGAAGTTTTGTTTAACAAGAAAGTGAATGCCCTGAATTATGGAAAATGAGAGAGAAGCTAAAATGTTATGCAGTCAAATGCAAACGCTTAAAATAAACACAATTATGAAAAAAAATGTAAAGTGGGAGGAATATTTGAAGATGGATCGTTATTAAAATTTGAGTAAACAATTTCGAGTTATTAGAAGGCAGACGCAGATCACTTAAGTTGACTAAAGATTTTGATTTTTGTGAAAAATTGTTAAGAAATGAAATTAAGATGGAAGATGAATACAGTGAAGGAGAAGTAGAAGGAAGAGTGAGTTGTGAAGGAGGAGATACCTAGCATAGTTATTAAAGACCAGTCAATGTCTTAGTTAATAATTTAACGGTCCAATTCAACTTTTTGTCACATAGTTTAACTGCAGTTAATATTGAGTTATCATTTTGTTATAAATTGATAAATCAATAATATTAGTGATCAATTTGTAAATTTTATAAGTTTAGTGAAAAAAATAAAAATTTATTCAAATATTAATGATCATTCATGTAGTTTACCCTTTTTTAAGTTTAAGTTTCAGGTTGTATGATAAAACTACCCTCATTTTGTAAGTTGCTCATCTTACATAAAAAAAATACGTAGTGGGATGAGGGGAGGTAAGATAGTAGGTTGACTTTAATGTCAAGTTGAGAGCAGTTTCTGTAGAAAACCTTCGGCAGTCAGAATTATGAATTGCCCATCGTATGACTCGATCCTACGACCACAAGATTAAGAGTCTTGCACTCTACCAACTGAGCTGGACGGACAATTCTTCTTATATAAAAGAAGTTATTAAATGGGAACATGTCAACTATACTTAGCAAAAATTAACATATTAAGAAGGAAAATAATTGAAATAAAAAGAATACAATGAATTTAAGAAGAAAATAATAAAAGAAAGCCAACTTTAATAACAAAAATTTGCTGACGAGGTCTAATTATAAAAAATTAAAGACTTTATGTGGAAACTGGAACCTATAATTGAAAGGCAGTCAACTTTGCTTGTAGTATTTCCGAGTCAAGCTCCCACATAGAACTATCTAGAAAAGTGTCTTCATCCACGTCAAGCCGGAGACCAACACCCAATAAAATTATGCCACGTTCCTCGAAGTAAAACCGTTGGATTATTTATCAGTTGGTCAAGTGACTTAGAACTTGGAGTCGTCTCGTGTGGAGCCGGTCATAACGCAGAGTTCTCCACGTCGAACAAACAAAGCAAAACCAATAACATGATTACACGTGTCAGGAGTTAAATCATCAACCGTTAGATCATCCACGCTGGCACCAATAACCAATCGAGAGACAATCCTTAAGGTTCAATCTAATCAAGATCTAAAGCTCCTCCCCTCTCTAAAATCTCCAATATATAAAACCTCGCTAAACCGACTCAACACTTCAAACAAATAGGTAGAGATCTCTTTACTGATTAATTATACGAACAAAGCAGCTTTGAAGCAACACAATGAGGAAGTGGGCGATCCCTTCCGCTTTGATTCTTCTTTGCCTTCTCAGTCTACTCTCAGATCAAGGTCAGCTACTCGGCTTACTACGATTTTCCTTACATTTTCTTATTGTTCGCTGTCTTGAATCTGGATTTACGGTTGTTTCAGGTAGAAAAGTACAGGCAAATGCCGAGGAAGGAGTCGTAGATCCTCCAAAAGTTGAGGAAAATATCGGCGCTGTGCCTACCGGTTTACAAACTGATTCTGATGTCGTTAAAAGGTTTGCATAATTTTGCTAAGAATAATCTCTTACTTACCTTTTTGCCTTTATCTGTTATGTTTTGGATCCGAAAATGTAATTTGATTTTCTTTTGCTTTTGTTTTCAGGGAAACTGAGTCGATTTCT